TTATTTCATGTAAACTTGTTTGGCATCATCGCTCTACTGCACGCGCAACCCCATAACATATCTGTAACTATTACCGCAAATCATGTTATTATAGTAAGGCGCATGTCAATTATATCACACATCCTGCAGTTACTGATGTGATCAGAGTAATTTCGAAAGAATGCGTACAAGTATTCACGGTGGGAGAACTGTTATAAACATGAGCGCCCACAGAAATATTTTCAAGAGAGAACAAAACATGTATGTAGGGGATCAGCTTTACAGTGTAAGACAAGTGTCAGAACTTTTGAGTATATGTTTATGAGTGGGTGTTAAGGATTCTTCTACAGTAGGTGTCTGTAGCTTGTTGGCGATAAATTCTGACAATAAACGGACAGCATACACTCCACCTGTTTTAAAATAATATATTCAAAATGAGATAAACGTATCTACAAAACTTCTTTAGACTATGGAGATCACGGTTGTATCTTAAACACTATACAGTTCTTCTCTTGTTGTCAAAAGTCCATTTAAGCTGATTCAGTTGCTTTAGAATCCGGTTAACAAGCCGAACTATTTTTCTCTACTTTTATCACAATAAGTGTCGGTGAATAATTTATTTACATAGACTAAAATAATATGTGTTATACGCTTAAACGCAAACACAAATTTACAATTTCAATAAAAATTACTAAAAATATTTAGTTTAGTAACTACAATGTTAAGTTTACATCGTAATAGGTGCAATTTTTTGTGAAAGTAAAGGGGGTAAATGCCCCTTCCTATGGGCGCCCATGGTTATAAATAAATCGTGTGAAAAACAGCTGATAAATTATTTTGATGGCTTAAGGGCAATTAATGGAAATAATAATAATAAATACATAATTTATAAAGAGAAGGAATAATCGTTTATTTGTTGTTGTTTGTAATTAAGCACAAAGCTACACAAATAGCTATCTATGCTCTGCCCACCACGAGTATCGAAACCCGGTTTCTAGCGTTGTTAGTCCGCAGACATACCGCTGTGCTACTGGGAGACATTTGGTATTGAGCACAAGGTTACACAATAGGCTCCCAGTGTCTCAGTGGTAAGTCTGACAGCTTATAACACTAAAAAAAGGGGGGGAGCGTGTTTCGATACCTGTGGTTGGCACAGCATAGCTAGGCAAACTGATCGAATGGATAAGAAAACACGAATATTGTACAGTGAAAAGAAAAGAGAGAGAAAACAATGAAAGGAAGCCCAAAAATGGCAAAAAGACACAGGTGATAATTTTTTGATTCCTAGTACTTCTGTAGAAACAACAGTTGACAATGAAATAAAAGAATGTGAAGACCAATGCAGAGTAAAGGACATCATGGTATCAAAATAAGATTTTCTGCATTTTGAAGAAACATGCAATTAATGAAGATAACAAGAAGATACTTGAATTTGACACTTTGGATATGGATTCATGGTAACAAAGTATAAATACTGAAAATACATATCATTTAAAAACTGGTGCAGTTGGAAAACCAACACACTGAAGGAGCAAAGCATTGTTAGGGAGTTCTATGGACATGCACCCCCCCCCCCCAAATTCCACTTTAGGCAAATATCCTGCAATTTGGTGCATTCTAGGAATATTTTTTATCACTGGTTTTATGATCTACTTTATGCTACTTATATATTTTTTAAAGGTTGTCTTTGAAATCTTTTTTCTATTCAAGAAACATGCAGCAGTATACCTTACACCCCTAAAATAAACCAGCTTGCCTGTATGTCAAAATATATTTACTGGACAAGCTTTTTTATAAATATCATTTTCCAACATATTCCTAAAACATTAACAAATGTGTACACAGTGCTAAGATGAATAACTATTAAAAATAAAATGCTATACAGTTTAGTTTGTTTGGAAGTTGTGTCATATTTTCAAAAATACTGTAAAATATAGCATTGATAAATCTACCGCAATACATTTGTGTCATTCATTTTGTACTTTTGTATTCACTTTGCACAGTCATTGTGTGGTTCTAAATACATTACAGTTTTGTAAAGATGTGATCAATGTTATTTACAGTGTCTATACTGCTCAGGTGTTCAAGTATGATAATTTAAGAATTATAATCAACTGTCTGAAACTGACCATATTACAGATAATTTCAATGGCCATATATTTTGGTGATTTATGACAGTAACTCCAAAGTTAAACTTTTTAATTATCTCATATTTTGAAATAAGGATAACTGGTAACTGAGGAGGATATTTTCTCTTGTTATATGATATAACTTATACTATTCTCTGAATTTCGAAGTGTTGAATTTAGATTTAGTGCCATAGTAGAAATTACTAAATGTTTGACGTCTACGTTTCAAGTTCACAAAGTCTTCAAGGTTCATGACATCAGCGTTATCTTTGTGCTGTGGTATGCAGGTGTATTGTGACAAAGAACATACTACGAGTTTCAATTTTCCTTCATTATTTTTATTTATTCTGAAGTTATTCTTTGTTTTCAATATGTGCATGTTTTATATGATAAAAAAAACCCATTAAGCTGATCTTGTTTTAAGTTATCTTTGTTTTTTTGTCATTTTTGAAGCAAGTAATACCTGTTACCATCCACGGAGAAAATTGTTTAAAACAACCTTGTGTCAGGAACTCGACAGCAGTGTCTTCCAACGGCTGTACAAATATTATCTAAAGGTTATAGCCTCATCTATGTGTAATGAAAATGACCAGTTAAGCATATGACATGCTTGGCAAAAGTGAATTGTAAACTTACCAAAGAAAGGCACACACACTGTGTTTATGTCTTTGTCAATAAATAAAGATTATTTTCATTTTATATTATACATTGTTTCCAATCTGTTTATTCCTTAGCATAAAATATCTCAGTAAGTGATTAAACAATGCTTTGCAATACCATATCCTCCATACCACGCCCCCAGACTCTCATAGCATCAGCATGCAAAGCATGCTGATTGTATTTCCCACAATATGTGTTGGTTTTTAACTTCACAAGTTAGACCTCCCCCCCTTTCAAACATTCATGAAACGGGACTGTATACCTCAGATAAATTCACTTGAGTATACCAGAAATCACGCATTTTATTAATTAATAAGCATTTTTTCAAAATTTCTGTGCATATTAAGTGTGTTTAGCTGCTAGTGTAGAGTATTGGTCAGAAGAAGAACAAAGTAGGTTATTAAACATACTGTTGCGTCAGCGAGTCACATGACCACTGTGACGCCACGTTTCTAGAACTATCTTGTTTCTTCATGAATGCTCTAGTGTTTG